ATAGAACAGTGGTATTATTATTTGAAAGGAAGCAAAATCATTCTTACCTATAGAGTGGATGATTATGTATCTAAAGGACGCAAAAGAGTCAAGAGTAAGATATTAGCACTCCTTAGTATGAGAATTAATGAAAATTCATCAATGTAGCAAGTTTAAACCTAAATACATAAAAGCCAGTAACTGGAAACCAGCAGCAAGAAAACACGATGTGGGAAAAGTCCCTTTTACAGAATCAACAAAAATGTAAAAGATAGGTAAAAATTGTTTATTTTCTTATTTTCATATATATGTGTGTGTATCTGTATACACACACTAAAGGATTGTAAGGAAAGTAGAAAGTAGATTATTTAATAATCAGGAAAAAACAGCTTAATACCTCACACAATACATAAAATTATTATGTATTAAATATTAATCATTAGATATTAAATATGGAGTAAAAAAACCACAAATGCATACATATGAAGGAAAATGTAGGTGGTTATTTAATTCATCATAGGATTAGAGAGAATTTCTAAACAAAAACATATATGGATTTGTATGTAGTATGTGCGTGACATTACCAAAAAGAAATACATTTGACTAATAATTTTTTTTTTTTTGTGGACTAGGGTTTGAACTCAGGGCCTACACCTTCAGCCACTCCACCAGCCCTTTTTTGTGATGTTTTTTCAAAACAGGGTTTCACGAACTATTTGCCCAGGCTGGCTTCAAATCGCCATCCTCTTGATCTCTGCCTCCTAAGTAGCTAAGATTATGGGTGTGAGCCACCGGCACCCAGCTGACTAATAAAAATTTAAAGCATTTTGCAATAACAACATAAGTAAAATTATACAGTAAATAGCAAGCAGGGAAGATATTTACTATCAATATGAAATAAGGGATTAATATCCTTGTAATAATGCCAAAAGAAAAAACAGTCCAAGAACATAATTAAAAAGAAACACAAATCTAGTTGCCCATCGATGGATGAATGGATAATGTGGTATATATGCACAATGGAGTATTTATTATTCAGCCACAAAGAAGAATGAAATCATGTCATTTTCAGGAAAATGGATGGAACTGGAGATCATTATGTTAAGCAAAATAAGCCAGACTCCATAAAGACAAATATCATGTTTTCTCTCATATGAGGAATCTAGATTTAAAATAAAAAGACATGAAAGTGGAAGGGAGATAGGGGAGAGGGAGGAGAACAGTGGGAGGAGGGGATGAGACCAGACAGGAAGAAGTGAGGTATGACTGAAATATGTTATGTATAACGTAGGAAAATGTCATAATGAAACCCGTTGTTTTGTGCAATTAATATATGCTCATAAAAATTTAAAAATACAAATGCTTGATAATATATGAATAGTGTAGTAAACCTCTCTGGCAATATCTTACAACAAGAGAATTTTTACCTACTAAAACAGCAGAGATTAAGTTACATTGTTCACTGCAGCATGGATGGTTTCTAATCAACACTCCCTCACACACCAGTCCTAGAAGCACTGGTACAACTTTTGTCAAATGCAATTCTTTGGGATAGTTCAAGAGGCTTCCAAGAATTTGGTTCGCTGACCTAGTTCTTCCACTTCTAGGAATCTGCTTCAAGGTAGAAGTGTGAGGATTTACAAGCAAAGATTTTTATACAGCATTACTAATGAAAGAAGGTTTGAAGTGATTTAAATGTGTACTGTTAGGAGAATGGTCTATTAGGCAGCCCTAAACAGTTTTTACACAGAACTTCCTAACATGGGAAAATAGGACAAAGGTTTGGGAAAATACAATATATAAAATTCTATTCATATTAAAATATATGTGTATACATATATTAACACACACATAAGATATATATGAATATAGTAATACTCAATGCTTGATATCAAAATATTACCTGGAGTGGGATTCCAAATGCTTTTTTTCTTTAGATATTTCCCTATCTTTAATTTCCAAAGTATATATTACCTTTATAATCACAAGAAAGGCTCTGAAACTAGACTTAATGATTCTAAAGTTAACCTAGGGATAACAGGACTGTCCATGCTTTCTGTAAGGAGGGCCATCTTAGGTTATTCAGGCTGCGAACTGTACCCCATGCCACATCTAGGCAGATGCCTTTGACATTACAAACATGCAATAAAAAGCCTGGAGATGTTTGGACTTCCAGCTATGCAGCAGGACAGACTTCCATAAAGCCACACTGGCACTTACTCTCATGAGTGTACTTGGATCACACAGTTTCAGCACACATGTAGAACAGCTATGACCTATTCTTCGGATCCCTGGATAGCCCCTGAAAATACTCCTTTCCCTTGTTTATCTCTCTTAGAGGCCTACCTCCTACTTCAAAGCAGACACAGTTCCTTTCTCTCAAGGCTTTGTTTCTTAGGACACTTGACTTTAACCAGACCTCCTTTGTCAATCATTCTACCCACAAAGATTTAAGCCAGAAGGACAGAGGAATCTTATTTAGCTTTTTCTCAAATGGAGTGGCAGCTAAGAACAAATTGTAAATTAGTCATTAATAAACCCCTATCTTAATACAAGTATTTCAGTATTATATGAAATACAAAATACAGATGCTCTGGTATTTTAATAACAGTGAGCCAAAGTCAGATTTTGTATAGACAAAGCTTATGCAAAATCTTCCAGGTTGAGGGAATGGGATGAGCCTCTCAGCTAGAAGTAAAAAGAAAACTCAGTGAAGGAAAGGATGTATGTGAAGCCTTTAGTCTGGGAAATGGCCCAAGGAAGAAACCTGCTTCTTATTAGAAAGGGGAACTCTCTGAAGAAACAGAAACAGAAAGGGACAGAATACAAAAAAATGAGAGGCTGACAAAGGGCTGAGAACACCAGCAACTGCCTCTGGAGCACACCACCCTGGCCCAGATCAAGATAAGAAGGCATCTGCCTTCAATTTCCTTTTAATATCCATGAGACTCCTGCAATTCTGGAATACCAAGTGAGCATACTACGCAGAAAGGGCAGGGGGAAGATGGCCTCTGCCTTATTTCCAGCTAATTACCTTTGGTCATGTTTCTGTTTATATCATTGTTTTTATGGAAAAGTTCCCTGTAGCTAGGTGCATATAATCCTAGCACTCAGGAGGCTGAGGAGGGAGGATCCAGTGCAAGACTACATAGCAAGACCCTGTCTCAAACAAACAAGAGTTACTGTAAATTCTAAATCACTAGCTTAGGAAGCAATTTTTCAAAGACATTCCATTTGTAATTTGAAATCCTTGTATCCCTAAAACAGCCAACAAAAGCAAGTGAACAAAAAAAATACCATCTCCATAAATTAAAATTAAATGGTCCCTTGGATAAATTTTTATAGTTGTGGACTTCATTTAATTCTCCCTCAAATACCTTCAAATGTGCAAAATTATCTCCACCATCATTACATAAAAGTGCATAAAAATTTTAATTGCATTTGCTGGATGTAAAAAAAAGCTAGAAATACCTTGTGATAATATTACCAAGAAATGTTTTATCACAAAAGTTTGCAATGGGTTAGGTTGCACCAACTGTTTTTTTTTTTTTTTTTGGCTTCTTGATAAGAAGTTTTTTGGTGTTGACATAGGAGAAATGCACATTTCAGGTGTGAGTTTCAACTATTTGTGTATGGGAGCTTAGAATACATAAATCATAAGGTAAAAATAAAATGACAAAACACTTTCAAGAAAGTACAGAAAAATGAAATGTTGTGACATACAATGAAGGAAGCAGGAATGTGATGGCATATGTTTTCTAGAATATATGTTTCATTTTTTTCTTTGTTTCATCCTTTTTCCTTGCATCATGAACAATTTTGGTAAGATCAAATTGTTGATAATAATCCATATCATCCTATCCACGAAGTCCACAGAGGCTTAAATGAAGTATTTTGCATGCATCCTTACTACCATTTGAAAATTTATTTTGGAAATCTGTGCTCAAAAGCACCTGTTCCCCACAAGGGAGTTCTTGTAGCTGTTTGCTTTTCCAGTTGACCAAGAGGAAACCAAGATCTTTATCTATGATAAAGGTAGATAACCTTTACAGTTACCTGGAAAAACTACCAGGAAGGGAATCAGGAAGATCTCCTAGCTACCAATTATTTGCTTCAGTCACAATCTCCTATACTGTCACACAGAAGAACAATGACACTCCACATGGTGACCAAACCTACTAAGGCATATTTTGTGTGCTACACACTATTATATCTGTGTCTTAAGTAACAACAAAATCATAGAAGTTATACTTTATTAATTCATTTAATGCTCTTAGAATTTGCAAAATGTGACAAAAAGGATAAATGGAGAGGGATGGTGGAGCAGGCATTAACTGATTATTCCAAAATTATAAGCTGTAGTAAAAAGACTAACAATCACTTGAATTCCTGACGCTTAATAAAATTGGCTTATCTAAGGTTTTTCTGAAGGTCTAATTACCGTTTCTGCTGGTGGCAACCCATCCCACATGTAATCCGATTTTAAAAATTAAATTGCATGCCTACTCTCGAAGATAAATGATGTTATAATTTTCATCCTCACACCCTATTTTGTGAGCTCAAACTCAGCTTAAAAAAATTTCCCAACTTCTCTTCCCTTTATGATGCCGGGCCTCGCCCCTCTCCCCTGGGCAGCAACGGAGCGCAGTGCTGTCTTCACGCTCAAGATGAACTTCAGGGCTCATCTCATGCACAGAAGTTGCTGGGAGAGCCCGGCGCAGACAGCTCCTGGGGGATCCCCGGGGGATCCACGGCCCACACGTGTCGGGGACACCGGGGGGCGTTCGGAAACGCAAGATGGAGGGGAGCAGGGGCCGCCCCCCGCCCCAGCGCAGCGCGGGGTGTCCACAGCCGAGGCTCGCAAGCGAGTGGCCGTTACGCCGGGCGTTCCCACGAGCCCCGCCGCCCGCGCGCCGTCCAACCGCCCCGCGGGCGGCTCCCGACGCCGGGCCGCCAGCGCCCCTCGCGGGGCAGCGCCCAGGCCAAGCACCGCAGCCGCCGCCGCCCCGCTCCGCGCTCACCTGCTCGGCCTCTTCCTGCCGCCGCCCGCGCCGCGGCGGGCTCGCCCCGGGCTCCTGCTCCGTCCCCGCCGCCGCCCGCTCGGCCACCGTGTCCGTGTCCCCGTCCTCGTCGAGCTCCCCGCCGCCGCCCCGCAGCAGCTCCCCGGCCGAGCACATCCCGCCGCTAACTCCTGCTGCCCGGGAAGGCCGCCGGTGGGCCACACGCCGCGACACACGAGGCAGCGGCGGCCGCCCGAGAGCCGCCCTGGGCGCCGCGCTCGCCGCTCTGACAGGAGCCTCCCAAGCGCGCCCCGCTGGCCCGGGCGCCCAAGTACCCGGGCAGCCCGGCCCTGCCTGTCAGCCGCTCGCCCCGCCCCCGGCCCGGCCGCCCGGGACGGAGTCCATCGGGGGCGGGGCCACGGAGGGGGCGGGGCCAACTCTGTGTGTGTGTGTGTGTGTGTGTGTGTGTGTGTGTGTGTGTGTGTGTGTGTCTGTCTGTCTGTCTGTCTGTCTGTCTCTATGAGAAGGAGGGAGGGCTGAGGACGTATGTGAGAAACTATCGGGCAGATTGAATATGAGAGGGGAAGTGGGTGCACGAGGGAGCTGTGTGTCTCACACACTCTCATGTTAAGAGTGTGTGACAGCCTGTGTGTGACCGTGTATCTGTGAGACACCCTCCTTATCTGTACACAGCAGACTGTGAGTGATTGCTTGTGTGTGCAAGGCTGCCTGTGAGTGAGATCCTGTGAATGTGACACTTAGAAGTATGAGACAGGAGCTGTGTGTGCAAAAGAGACAGTGTGCATATGGAAGAATGTCTTTGTGGGTGAGGGGAGGGTGTGTGAAAGAGACAGAAACACACACACGTGCACTTAGTTGCTCTTTTCAGCCCAGAGCCTCTGTTCTTGCCTAGAACTGGGCTGTGCCTGTGTAGTTGCTGGCTGTCTGTCCTACAAAAAACTCTCCATCCTTTGCAAGGAATACACATTTCTCTGTCCTTTTTCTTTCCTTTTGCTCCCTTTCCTAGTGTTTCTCTGAAGGGACGGGTCTTATTCTCTTGAGTGCTGGCTTGTGTGTTTTGGTTGTTGGAGTCTCAGAATCACTTAGTGGTGTATCTGCTTTTGTGTATATTTCTATAAATGGAGGAGAATATGTCTCAGTGACTGCTAAGGAGGACATATATATATATATATGTCCAATGTATAACCCATTTTAATTCGTTTTCTTTCTTTTTGTCTTGGCAATACCAGGGTTTGAACTCAGGGCCTCCTGCTTGCTAGGCAAGCACTGTACCACTTGAAACACATCCCTAAGCTGTTTTGCTTGAGTTATTTTTCTGATAGCGTTTCTCATTTTTGCCCCAGGCAGGCTTCAGGTTATAATCCTCCTACCTCTGCCTCCTGCATAGCTGGGATGTTGTTAAGTGCCCACTAACATGCCCGGCTGGCTTGTTTATTGAGATGAGGTATCCCTAAGGTTTTGCCCAGGCTGGCCTTGAAGCTCCATTCTCCCAATCTCTGCCTCCTGAGTAACTGGGATTACAGATGTGAGCACCGTGTCCAGTTTATAATTCTTATTCTTATTACCCCATCCATTTTTTTAAAGGACAATTGAGGGGCACTTAAATAAAATACCAAATTTTTGTTTTTATCTCTTATCTAAATTTAATCTCTCTTATCTAAGTTTATCACTATTAAATAGATAAAATATCAAGTTGTCAATGGAAAACAAGTATTTATGAGTATAGCAGAAAATAAGTTATTTGGACTCTTGCTAAAATGTTTTCAGGCCTAGACAAGGAGTTAAAACAGGCAGGAACTCACAACTTTATTTTGTTTCCTGTTTTTTAGTAGGCAGGAGACTCTTACGCTCTCTCACACACGTGCACTGTCTCTTGTACACACAGCTCACATAGATATAGTCTCACTCACACACACAATCTCTCACACATACTCTCATTTTTTTTTTTTTTTTGTTGGTACTGAGGTTTGAACTTAGGGCCTCCTGCTTGCTAGGCAAGGTGCTCTACCACTTGAGTCATACTCTCAGCCCCTCACCAACTCTTTCTACTAGTTTCTCCTGCACATATAATCTCTCTAGAGACTAGATATTGGATTTCACAATTAAAGAAAATGAATCTCATTCAATTCTTTCTTAAAAGTCTTTAAAACCCAGAAGGACAGTAGTGAATGTTATACATGTATAATCAGAAACAAACATCATCATGGGAACCCAGAAACAGCCCCAATGGTTCTTATTCCTTTCCTCTAATGGTGATGCTTTCATTTTTGAATTTGGTTTTTGCCTCTTATGAAAAGTGATCTTTTTTTTAAAAAACAATAAAACTTTAGGATTGTATATAGTGGCACAGAGAACTTCATTCCTTTACTGTCAGCCCTGTGAATTTAACATTTTGATGTTCTCCCTCTTGTGTCCATTAACTTGGTAAGTCAAGCAGTGATACACTCATAAAAAATGAACAGAAACTCCTTGTATACATGAGAACCCAGAAGGCAAGCAAAAAGAAAACACAGAGATTAGCTTTGTTCAGTTTAGGGGACAAATCATACAAAAAGTCCTATAGTCTAGAATATATTGTCTGCTCCTTTATCAATTCAGGCTTCTTCTTGATCCTTTGAGAATGTATTCTCTCAGTGTTTCAGCAGGTATTTATTTACTGAACACCACTAGGCTCAGATCTATGTTCCTACTCTCATGAAACTTCCACTTTAATCTCCTAATTCTAGTCTGCTTCTCTTGGCAAAGGCGAGGAGCTTTCCCCAAGAAGTGGCCAGAATCCTATGGTTCCCACCTAGAAGTCAGAAGTTTCTCATTTTGTTAATGTTGTCTACCTTCAGTGAGTGAGTTTCTTTTGGAACATGCATCCTTTTGTTTCCAGAGATTTGGGGTTTTCCTGAAGACCTAGAAAATCACTCTGTCTACATGTCTAATAATAGCACTTTACACAAAAGACATTATCCAGAGTACATTCCAGATCATACACTTCCAAGCACATCTTCTGGGAAGAGTGGGTTGTTTTCTTTCTACTGCACACTATGAATAGCATGCACATAAATCTACCAGCCAGTTTCCCATGGGAGATACAAGATTGTTATTACCAAGGCAACTATAACATGTCTCAAATTGTGTGTGGCTTAGTTGTGATTTTATTAGCACATTTACCTGTGTTTGCTCAGGAATTTATAAGTGAGAAGGAGCAGGTGCATGTTTCAGGATAAGGAGTGGCCTGTGTGGCACACGTCTGGCTTGTGCAGTTGCTATGAGAACAAGGACTTTAAATTTCTCACTTTCATGCCTTTGATGACTTATTTTTAATGTTCTTTTACTCATTTCACTTGTACATCTTTCCAGAGGGAAAAATGAGCAATTCAGAGTGATCTGACTTGATCAAATAATCTTTGGAAAAAATGCAGTTACTTGTGGAAACTATCCCCAAATTTATTTTTTCCATTTGATTTTCGACATATCTAAGATGTTACACAATTATATGTCTCCTCTATTTTAATTGTTGTCTCATATAATTTTCATCTGCCTTCTTTCTATTTCTCAGAAACTTTAGAATGGGGAATCATTTTTGAAATGCTTGAAATATTAACCAAAATTCCAGGAAACCCTCTGGTTTCTGGACAATCCATGTGAATTTAAAGGAGGAACTTACTGAAAACCCCTCACTTACTTTAGGTTCCTTCAGTTTAAGGAAACTGTATTGGAGCGATGCTGAACCAGTGCTCTCTCAGTGTTCTCTAGCCTTCCCTGAGAGTCCTTTCTGATTGGGGGAAAGGAGAAATTTGCCCTTGCTCTTGGAATTAACTTCCACCTTCTCTGCTTTATTCTTTCTCTAATGTGACTTCTTTGCATCCACTTACACTGTTGAGTGGTCTCTCTACCATAGGAATGTTGTACTTACTTTTAGAAATGCATTGAGAATGCAATTCAAACTCACTAGTAGAGAAAGAATGGAAACACAATGATAAAGTACCATACAATATCAGTAATTTTCAAAATGTTGTAATAAATGTTGAATAAATAAAACCTAACATGGACAATACTTTAGGTAAAGGGTGAACCCAGCCACTGCTGGTAGCTCTGTAAACTGATAGCATTCTTTTGGCAGGATGTGTGTGAGCCATAAAGATATCCATACCCTTTGGTTCACTGACCCCAGACCTAGAAAATGACTCAAAAGGGTGTGGGTTGGGCTATGGACGATGATTAGTCAAAGGTACAAAGTTTCAGTGGACAGGAGGAATAAGTTTTGCAGATCTCTTGCCCGGTGTGTTAACCATAGTTAAAAACACTGTATTGAACGCTTCCAAATTTCCAGAAGTGTAGACTTAACGTATTTTCACTACAAAACATGATGAATATGTAAGGTGACGAGTACAGTAATGATCTTGACATAATCACCCATAATGTGTACATATATCAAATGTTACATTGTGCCTCATGTAGGTGGACTAATTTTTCCGTTAAATTTTTTAAAGAGGGAGAGAGTTGTTTGCACAAAGGTGTTCAAGGCACAGAACTATAGTGAAAAGCTGAAAGTAGCCTGAACCACCTCCAGTATGGGAATGGTTCACTAAACTAATGTATACCAACTGAAATGTATAAGGCCTTAAAATGGTAAAGATGAAGATTTCCTATCAATATTATAAAAAATTTTAAATATGATGTTAACTGAAAGAGTACACACTGATAGTAACAGAGCCTATTCCATTATCCTATATACCAGGAACTAGGCAGAAAACAGAGTAGTCTATGATTTAGCTTTGCCCTACTTAGGATTACATTTTACAGAAGTGAAATTATGTGAACATACAGATCAAGTTTGGAAGAAAAATTTTTAAAAATTGGGCTATGGGTAATGCATATCCTTGTAAAGTTAATTGTAATGTTGTAATTAAAAATAATTTTTAAAGTTCTGAACCTATTTTTCCTTATAAAATAAAATTGCTACCAACCAAAGTCTGGTTGATTCTACTTCATAGCTGGAAGTTCCTTTAACCTTTGTTGAATAATTTAGTTCTTGAAGGGGTTTGGGTGTTTTATTTAAGCTGTTCTTCATATTTAGAATCTTAAAGTTGGAAAAGAATTTAAGAGGCAGTTTAGAGCAAACTCCCACGCAATGTCACAGTCCCATAACATTTCTGACAGATGGTCACTCTCCTTCTGCTCGAAAGGTTCCAGCTATGGGAAACTCACTGCTTCATGAAACCACCTGTTTCATTACTGGATAACTCTAATTGCTAGAAAGTTCTTTATTTCTACTAAATTGAATTTTTATCCTT